GGGGGGAGGGGAGAATAGAGAATGAATACTAATGAATATGCGATTTCTTTTTAGGGCAAAGAAAATTTTCTGGAATTTCCATAACTTTTAAAAAATATTAAAAATCACTGAACTGTACACTATAAAAGGGAAAATTTTACGATATCTCAAATTTAAAAAAAAATGAGTGAATGAATGCTCACACTATTTCTCTTTCATTTAGAGTTAAAAAATACTGCCCACTGACTAACATGTAACCCGATTTAACTTTCTCTACCCTTTAGCATATGCTTGGTTGCCCCTTCCCCTTGCTTAACTAATATGTCCTCCAAGAACGAACAATTTTTATACTACAAAAGAAATCACAAAATCTTTTAGAAAAGTAAAACTGACTTTACATTATTCCACCGTGGCTGTCTGTACCATGTCTACATTCAAAAGTTTCAACTGAAAAATGATTATAAGGAACTATTCTCATTTTTCACCTTTTCTTCTTCCTTGTACCTTTTTACTAAATAACAGCATTAAACGTTGTTTGGTGTCAAAAGCAAATGATGGAATGAATTATCAAATTCAACTCAATGAACACATTGACTGTATTTAAGCACAGTGCTATGTTGGGAAACAAGGTCTATTAAATAAATAGGAAAACCTATCTTAATAAATAAACCACAAAACGATCCCATATATCACTTTCTCGGAAACTTTAAATAATCAGTCTGGAGAATACAGCAATGGTAAAGGCAGCTCTTGCCACAAACTGTTAAGTCACACAAATATTTATTAAGTGCTTACTCAATAAAATGGTATAAAACAAGGAAAAGAGCATCAGCTTTGCCCTCAAGTAGATATGGGCTTGAATTCCACACCTTCATTTGCTAAACTGTGTGCGTTGGGAAAATTAGTTAACCTTCATGAATCTTACCCTTTCTCGTATAAATGCCACACTACCTGCGTGGCATGGTATTATGAGGAATAAATGAGATAGCATAAGGTGCCTAGCAAGGCTTCAGTAAATGGAAACTATTGTTAAGATTATGATTATGTTCTGGGCACCAAAGATCTGGAGGGTGGGGTTAAGGATGAATAAGCCATTTTCAACTGAAGGTTCAATAAGGACTCAGGAAAATGCAGTTGAATGTTGAAGAATAAGAAGTTTCAATTCAATTTGGTAATATTTTGTAGAGGAATTTTCTGTCTATGTACATGAGAGATATTGGTTTATAATCTTCTTTTCCTGTAATGTCTTTGCCTGGTTTTGGTATCAGGGTTATGCTGGAAAGAATTCAGTCCTTCTGGCAGTGGCGGCCACTCTGCTCTTCCAGGCCTGCACCAGTGAAGAAGAATCTCTCCAGTCTCCTAATCTTTCTGTTTCTAGAGGTCTGCGGAGAAGGGACTGCAAGTGAGAGTGAACCACTTTTGTATCAGTAGCTACCAATGGCTCTATGCTTGGCCTTTAGCAATTCATTAAAGAAAAGTCTAGTCAAATACATCTTATCTGCTTGTATGGTGCCTGGTATCTCTTCCTGTAACTGTGCTCTGGCACAGTGACAGGGTTCTTGTGTCTCATATCTCGGGAGGAGTCTGTCTTTCCGTGGACTTCAGGCTACTTAGTTGCTGTACATCATAAGTCCTCTGATGGGTTCAAGAAATGTTATGATTTTAGAGTTTATCTGACATTTTATTACAGTTAGGAGAAGAGACACTCTCCACTTTCATCCTCCTAGGTGGAAACAGAACGCCCACATTCAGCAACATTTTAAAGTGAATTTCTATTTTATTAATCAATAATAGCATGGATTTGTGAAAGACACATTTATTCAGATTACACCTTTGGATTCATGGACTTTGGGCAGATTTATTACTCTGTGCCCCATCCCTTCCCTATCAGAGATCTACACACATGGCTTTTAAATCACTGTCATACTTTATGAGAAAAAAAATCAATTTAAAAAACTTTTAACTGTGATTTTAAAATTACTAAAATCAATTGTAATTTTGAGCTATTATAATTTAGGTATATTTCAAATACAAAAGCAAAAATTTTCATTTGCACATACGGTTAGAAATGGCTTCTAAATATATATAAGCTTTGAATTTCCTAATTCTCACATATCTAAAGTCACAATCACTGTATGTTAAGGTATAAAAGGTGCTACGATGGCTAGGAATTAAACTCAGGACATAATGTCAAAAAAAACCTATTGTGATTTCCCACAAAAATGTAACCTGCTTTTGATAAATTAGTGCAATTACATTAGTAATTACTTTTAGCACTTTGATACATATTTTCTGAGCAACATATTTCATCTACAAATAAGAAAACTGAAGAATGCTGTGGTTTTCAAACAACTTTGACAACTAATCTGTCCTAGCATTTAACCATACAACATATGTTCTAATTTTCCCCCATTGATTATAGTATAGCCTATTTGACTTTCTAATTATTCTTTATTATGCGGTTCTTAAAATTTTAAGAGAAAAACTAAAGAAGAAAAATATTTTTAAAAGTGAACTATTTTAATACATCACTTTATAGAATTTAATTGTTCCTGGGTTCATAACAAATAAATGGATTGAAAACTAGTCTCTCATTTGTACTGAAGAAAGTTAACTGCACAGTGAAAGGGAAAAAAATTTTAATGACTTACTAAATTACTTAAAAAGTTTGCTTTCACTATAAAACTGTTAGACACATTAATCAGGACTTAGAATCAGATAAGTGGTATCATGTGCTCAAAAATATACCCAATGAATTAAATACCAAAAGAAACAGATATTATCTTTCAGAATTCAATTCAATTTCTCTCTTTTGTATTAAAATCTGAAAGTAATAATCAAGCGGAGAGGAAGGAGACAAGTACTTTAAAGATATCCCAGAAGCACAGTGCTAGAACCTATGTCCTACCATATCGTCAGTCAATTTTTAATGGATGATCACTAAACTACTGCTACTGCTAGTAAACGGCTTGATTTCTTTATATACATATATTAAACTACTATGCATTTCAAAGTGAAATACATAATACTTCTTCCTGAAACAGCCATAATTTGGGCTTCAAGTATTCTTAGAAGCATTTATCTTCCAGAAAAGATGTGGTTTTGATTCCCTTGTGATAAGGTGAATTTCCTTCATTATCTTCAAGCCCTTTGTATATGATAGGATTGAATTCCTTCAAGGTCACTCAAAGTTGTGAAAGCCCTAGAGGATTATTTTGGCACTCTGACTCTCTTATTCTTTGAAACATTTGGCAGTGTATCAGAGCTTCATCAGAGAAAAAAATTAAATCCACAAAATTTATAGGGGAAAAAGTCATAACTGACTATATTTGCCAAGGGAATTATATTCATTCAAAAAATATTTAGTATGGAGATATGTATCAATTATAGAGTGAAACACTTGGCTCCTATTTAAGATGTTTTATCTATAGCCCACTGGGTATTTATTTATCTTGGTTAAAACTGACATAGGCCTGCGGCTCTCCTAACTTCTGTATTGCATGTAAAATTAAATGAAAATAATTTTTACACATATTAAATCCAACTGTTCTAGATTCTTTCTAAATAAAACTTCCTCCTACTAGCTAACACATTGGTTTCTTTTATTTTTCTTATGATTTTTACTGGCATTAAATGTTAACTGCACACTATTATTTAATGACGTTGTAAGTCAACAAAAATTTAAATATTGCCATCTTGTGGTCAGACATTCATATATGTGAAACTGAAAACAATGCCACTTTCCTAAAGAGAGGTATTTACCCTTAAAATCTTACCAAAGATATTTTCCTATCAGGTGAGAAAAATGATCATACAACATTCTCCAAGGAGACAAAATTCATTTATAATTTTAAGAAATTATAATTTAAAAAAAAAAAACAAATTAAATATACAGTCATTGATCATGAATAGTAACAGAATTCAGTAGAAGGACATCAAGTCAGTCCTGATATTATCTTAGAAATATTCATTTGCTTATATCTATATACTGTCATGATTAATTTTTAAACACAATGAGGAAAGTGTTACAGGTAATTTTCCATAGGATTTTAAGATATAACACTAACACTACTGTACCACTGTTAGGTTTTAAAAAGCGGTCAGGAGGGGAAAGTTCTGAAAAGCTGGAGCAAGAAAGGAACAGAAAACAAGCAGGAAAGTAAAAACCTAAACCTCATATAACATAATCTTAAGCACTTCCTCATTTAGGTCCTCCCTAAACTGCCAAACAGTTACATTTGTAATTATATTGGCATTCAATATATGAGATAAAAAAACACAATTACAAAAGTGAAGAAAAACATTCCACTGCTCAAAATACTCCTAATACTTCTACCTGGACTGTAGACAGAAAGTTTTTAAACAGAAGACATCTTAATTTCTACTGCCAAATTTCAGAATTTAGGTTATATAAAATTTAAATGACAAAGAAGCAAGAAGGCAAACTAAGCACAAGGCCAACAGCTTTGCAGAAACACAAAGACAACATCAAATGCCGGGATGCTGACTGCAGAATCATTTAGCCACACAATTTTGGTAATCAAGCAGTACAGAAAAGTTCATTCATATGATAGCATCTAACATGAGTTCTTTGTTTTCTAACTTGTACCTGTTGATCAAATCGCCACACAACATAAATAGCCTTTACAAAGTTCCTCAACAACCATAACCATTGCCTTTATATTATAATTTAAAACAGACAACTATGATACAGATACAGACTTATACATAGATAAAAAGACACTGACATTCAATTGTACAAGAACCAAAAGGTAAGATTAAAATAAAAATACTACCTAAGAGTTTTTAAAATCCATTAGAAATAGTGTTTATTGGTAAAGAGAACTAACAAATATACTCAAATACAATACCAGATTCTTTATCCCAAAGGGCTAAATCAAAGAAAACAAAAAAAACCCTAGAGAATAAGAATAAAACATATAAAAGAATTCTCATTATATATGTGTTCAATTCACAACATATATCAAACTCTTATATTATTACAAGGAAACAAATCTTACCTTGTTGCTGTGAAAGTGAAATATCACATTTATTTCTTACACGTATTAAACGACTTTGAACTGGCTTGTGTTCAACTTGCTTAACACCTTGGTCTTGTTTTTGTTGGTACTGAAGAATTTAAGACATGAAGTCATAATATTATTTTTTAAGTTACTTTAAAAAGATTTGAGCAATTAAATTATTTAGGTGTTTATTATATAAAATTTGGATATCATGCATGCTTTCTAACTACCAAATGGGTGATGGAGTACATATTACTAAAGAAAAGATATTGCAAATAAAATCTTTCAAAAGATTTGGGTAATATACACAGATTTCAGATATTCAAATCATTTCTATTTTTCCTAGAGAAATCAGAACTACTTATAAACCAACTATTCTAGATACATACATGATGGATTTAGACAGGATAAAAACTTAATTTGACTGTAAGCACTTCCATATAACCATTTTTGCATAAAATGAAAATCTGCATAATGCACTGCAATTTTCAAAGAGCTTTTATATATAATAACATCACTGAATTCTCACAAGTGTTGAGTAGGTATTGTTACCCTCCTTTGCCATTCAAGAAAAGTACACTCTACCATAAGCCCCATCATCTCTCTTCCTTACTACCACCTAACGAAATTTGAAATTTACAGTAGTCACAAATTCCTTCACAATCACACATTACAAATTGTGATGACTTTAGCCATTTTCTTTCTCCCCTTTCCTGTTTTATGAGCCTAATTAGGAATGAGTCTCTGAAAACAACTGTCAGATATAATCTGACCGGAACCTAAAAAGGTATCTCTGAACTCTTAACAACAGATACAAGCAGAGGAGAATGTGAAACACCTGTCCACATGGACTCAAATGTAACCACTCCAGTTCTGGCAGGTACTTATTTATCTACAGATAAAAATGAGTAGCTTTAGTCTGCAATAATAACAACTAGCCTCACCTCTGGTCTTCTAAGTTTAGAGCCATTAGTCATATAGGTTTCTTCCCTGAAGGAAATATTATTTTGGTGTGTATTTCTAAGATGGGTACTATGACTCTTTTGTGCTGCTTCAATTTAGAACCTTCCTACTGGCTCCCTTCCTTAACCACAGGGATTAAGAGCTGAGTATTGTGGAGCTAAACTGCTCGTGTTCAAATTTGGCTAAGTCATTATGTAGCTTTGACCTTGGGTTAAGTTATTTAACCCCCCAATACCTCTATTTTCTCATTCATCAAATGGGGATGATAATAATAACAACTACCTCAGTAGGTTGTTAAAAGGATCAAACGAGTTAATACGTAATGAACTTAGAACAGCCTCTGGCAGAGTAAGCACTATAAACAAGTGTGTGCTAGTATTAGTACTAGCCATATTTCTCTGTTAATAAAAGAAATCTAACAAATGAATTTTTTTGAAGCCGTTCTTCTGGTAACACCTTGCAGTTTTATTTTAAAACAGGCCAATAATTAAAGGAGAGCAATCTTTCTTTTATTTTTTAGAATATCTTTATTGAGGTATAACTGATAGACAATAATCTGCATGTATTTAAAGTGTATCATTCGTTAAGTTTTGACATATGTATATACCCATGAAGCCATCATCACAGTCAAGATAATACGATGAACATATCCACCAAGCTCAAAATAACCTGAATTCCCTCCTATAACGATAGATTAGTTTGCATTTTCTAGAATGTCATGTAAGTGGAATCGTAAGGTATGCACTATTTTGGGGGAGTGGGGGTTCTGGCTTTTTCCCCTCAACACAACTTTTGTGAGAATCGTCCATGTCACTGTATGTATCAGTAGTCCATGGCTTTTTTCTTTTTTAATAAATTTATTTATTTATTTTTGGCTGTGTTGGGTCTTTGCCACTGTGTGTGGGCTTTCTCTAGTTGTGTCGAGCAGGGGCTACTCTTCGTTGTGGTGCATGGGCTTCTCATTGCAGTGGCTTCTCTTGTTGCGGAGCACTGGCTCTAGGCGTGCGGGCTTCAGTAGTCGTGGCACACGGGCTCAGTAGTTGTGGCTCGTGGGCTCTAGAGCACAGGCTCAGTAGTTGTGGTGCACGGGCTTAGTTGCTCCATGGCATGTGGGATCTTCCCGGACCAGGGCTCGAACCCGTGTCCCCTACATTAGCAGGCAGACTCTTAACCACTGTGCCACCAGGGAAGTCCATCCGCAGCTTTTTATTGCTAAGTAGTATTCCATCTTATAGATATGCCACAACTTGTACATTCAGCAATTGATGAATATTTATGTTGTTTCCAGTTTGGGGCTACTACCAATAAAGTTGCTATGAACATTCATGTGCAAGCCCTTGCTTAGACATATGTGGTAGTTTCTCTTGGGTAAATAAATACCTAGGAGTGAAATGTCTGGGTCATATGGTAGGTGTACATTTTATCAATGCTTTTTAAAGAAATTGCCAAACTCTTTTCCAAAGTGGTTGAATCATTTTACATTCCCAGCCAGCAGCATATGAGAGTTTAAGTGCTCCACACCCTCGCCAAAACTTGGCATGTTAGTCTTTTTAATTTGAGATGTTCTAATGCCTGTGTAGTAGTATTTCCTTGTGGTTTTAATTAGCATTTCCCTAACGATTACCGATGTTGAGAATCTTTTTATGTGCTCACTTGCCATCAGTATATCTTCTTTAGGTAAGGTATCTGTCCAAAGATTTTATCCATTTTTTAATTGGATTGTTTGTTTTCTTAACATCGTATTCTGTGAGTTCCTTATATATCCTGCATATAAGCCTGTTACCAGATAAGTGATTTGCAAATATCTTCTCCCAATCTGTAGCTTGTCTTTTCATTCTTTTAACAGTGTGTTTTGAAGAGCAGATATTCTTGTTTTTGATAAGACCAGTTTATTAATTTTTTTCTTTCATGGATAGTGTTATTGGTGTCATTTTTGCCTAACCCAAGGTCACAAACAATTTTTCTTTTATTACAGAATTAATTAACAGATACTTATTCATGACTAGTTTTTTCCTGATCTTTGCTTGGTCACAGGTTATTAATACTGAACCCTACATAATAGTGTGTTCCATAAGCAATCTTTATTTTATATACTTTTGGCTTTCACCCTCAACACCATGCAATGCAACACAATACCATACCATGATGACTATTTATTGAATAAATTAATCTACAGTGAGATTACACAGATTAAAAAACTGTATTTAATTTAACATGAGCATTTTTTTTTACACCTTGGAGAGTAATTATCCTATTTTTTCAGTACACAAGATTGCATGGGTCATTGGCTTAACTCAGTATGAAATATCTCATACTTTCACGGTAACACACTTCACAAATTTTAAAAGAATAAATTTTTATTGAGTACCTATTATGCACAAACTACTAAACTAGATATTGCAGGGGAATATAGAGGTGTAAATGATAATAGCTATCTAACTTGGTAATAGGCATTTTTACATACATTATTTTAATCTTTAATTTAAAGATGAGGAAATTAAGGCTTAGGAAAAGGCTAAGTATGTATTCAAGGTCACAGCTAGAGACTGGATGAGCTAAGATCTATAGCCAGGCTTGAGTTAGTGAAAAAAGGAGGCATGATTTGAGGCTGTCTGACTCCAAAGACTGTGCTCTTGACAGTGTTCTATGCTAAGGCAATATTGTTACCATTCTGATTTAAGTAAAGTACAAGTGCTATTAATTGGGTACCTGAGGAAAATCTTCAGCTGCTACTGATAATTTAACATCATCTTCTTGTGTTGTCAGAAGTTTTGTGGGAAGGGCAAGGTGAGGATCTGGCTGCAACTCCAATTCTCCCAAACTCATTGGACCATGACTAGCACATAAATCTTCATAAATATCATCTGTTATCAAGTATGTAAACAAAAAGTTAAAATAAATTATTTCTTAGAAAAAGAAAAATTGGCTAAAATTACCAATATTTCTTACCTGCTGAATTAGAAGTACTTCAACAGAAAATACGTGTCACCAAGCCTTCACTGCAATTAAATCCAAAGCTCATAGAGAATGCAAAAAGTACCTATGTTCAAACAAATCTATGGACTATTCTAAGGTTCCAATCAGCAAGCCGTTCACGCAGTCCACACCCAACACTCACTCCTACACACCAACTCCTAACACTCCAGATTATTTTTTCTATCAATAAGAGTCAATAGAATACTTTCCATCTAAAATGTAATCTTAAATCAAGGGGCAATTTCCTGACTAGAAAATGTTGGTATTGCTTAGTTCTGTTCTGGTATTTTTCTTCAAAAGATCAAGCTCCTCTTTTCCTCAACCAAATGGCATCTCAATGAAATCAATAAAAAGAAGACAATAAGAGCAGAGATAAATATTTATCTACTAATATCACTGTACATTTACATTACATTTTATACTCCAAGCACTTTCACATATAATATCTCATTTAACTTGAACCTCACAATCATTCTGTAAGGCAGGAGGATCCGATAGTTTTATAACTGTCTTTCACTGTAAGGCTCAGGGAAGTTAACTGTCAAAATATCAGAGCTAAGAGGTGAAAAGGAACTAAAATCCTCATCTTTCAACTCCTAGTCACTGTTCCTTATTTCACATTCTCGCTAAATTATTTCTAAGAAAATTGTTTTTCCTAATTAATGGTCACCTTTTAAATATAGCACAATGCAGTCTCATTTTAATCAGTAGAAATAGACCTGAAGCACTATACATAAATTGTTTTAAATGAAATGACATTTTAAAGACCCCACAGGTATTTTCTATTTAAAAGCAGTGTGTGGACAATTTCTTAGGTTTAGCAAATAAGCACTCTCTGGTTTTTTTATGTTAATCTATATTTTTAGGTGGGTTTTACATAAAGCAGAATACATACACTGACTTTTAAGTTTTACCTTTCCAGAATTTGATCTACACAAAACAATTTCTCAAAATTATTACCTGTTTTATTCTCATTTTATTTATAAGATTAATTTAAATAATTGTAATAACATGCATCATTTAGAGCAACCATTGTTCCAAGCCTCACATTGGCCTTTTTATATTCTGATATGGCTTTTTCTATTCCTATGTCACTTTTCCTACATTTTCTTAAGACTGGCAAATGAATTAAAAGAATTCATACACACATAAAAACTTTTTGTACTGATTATATATGATTATATACCTAGAAAGCCCTAGACTCCCTAGTGAGGAAAAATAATTTTATTAGACGTAATAAGACAATTTGGTACTATGACTGGATACTAAAAAAATATACAAAAGTCATTGGTTTCTCTCTATATTATGCAATATGCACTTAGAAACAGAAAAATAATCTTTTACTATAGTGACCAGAACTGTAAAATAATTAAGAAAGGTATAGAAGAAGAAAATGAAGAAAATTATGAAATCTTATTGAAGAGCACAAAACAAGATCTGGACAAATAGTAAAATACATAAAATGTATTTTTATACATACATATAAAAATGTCAATTCTTCCAATATTAATATATAAATTAGCACAATTCCAATCAGGGTGATTTTTAATTGAAAAACATAATTTTAGAGTTTATATGGAAGGATAAATGCCTGAGAATTGTCCAGAAAAGCTGGACTTTTTTTTTTTTTTTTTTTTTTTTTTTTGGTTCGCGGGCCTCTCAGTGTTGTGGCCTCTCCCATTGCGGAGCACAGGCTCCGGATGCGCAGGCTCAGCGGCCACGGCTCACGGGCCCAGCCGCTCCGCGGCATGTGGGATCCTCCCGGACCGGGGCACGAACCCGTGTCCCCTGCATCGGCAGGCGGACTCTCAACCACTGCGCCACCAGGGAAGCCCCAGGAAAATTTATTTTAAAAAGTAAACTTGCCCTATCAGATAACAGAATGTACCATAAAGACACAGTATTCCAATGTGTTTTAGATCCTAAGGAATCTAGAATACTTAGAATAAAGAATCGAAAGAAAAAAATTCCTAGATCTATGAGAATTTAATATACAAATTGGTTGATATTTTAATTCAGTAGGAAAAAGATACATGATAATTGGCACAACTGACTACTTATCTGGAAGAAAATCAAATTGAACTTCTACCTTACACCACTTGCAAAAATAAATTCCAGATAGACTTAAATATAAATATATACTAAATAATGAACTTGCAAAAAGAATCTGAGACTACAGGTATAAGCTTATATTGGGGGAACCTAACCATGTGATGAAAACACAGGAAGTATAAATGATGTAAATAATTCTATAAAATTTTTTAAATTATATGGAAAAGAATATAAATAATGTCAATGAACAAAGTACAAATCTGGGAAAAGACATTTGCAATACAGATGATAGAAAATATCTAAAATACAGAAATAGTTCTTACAAAGTTACAAGAAAAACTTAGAACCTAACAGACGGGGGAAAAACTTAAGTAGGTAATTCACAGAAGAGCAAATACAAATAGCCAACAAACATAAACTCAGCAGTAGTCAGCCATATCTTTATACTTTAACTGACAAAAATAAAAATAGTAGTAAACACAATTTCTGGAAGCGATATAGAGGGAAGGTTGTAATATATTACTAATAAAAATAAAGTAGTTTAAATTTTTAAGACAGCAACTTGGTATATCTATTTTAAATTTTTAAATATATTTTCCCTTGGGCCCAGTAACTACTTCTGGGAAACTATTCCCTAAATATAATGCAGCAATATGTTAGGATACACACGTGTGAATATTTACTTTAGCACTGTTTATAGTAGGGACGAAATGATAATAAAGTAAATATTCATCAACAGAGCAATGATTGAATACATTATCGGAAATCCATACTAAAAGTGGATAGAAAGTCAATAAAAAGATGAATTTAAGCACTACTACTTGACCTTGAGTAATTTCTGCAGGGTTTACTGGGTGAAAACAAAATGCAGGTGAGTGTGCATGACACAATCTCAACTTGTAAAATAACAACAAATACACACACATCGTATGTACCTATCATGTATACTGTATGTGTGTGTGTATATAATTATTATATATGCATAAGGAAAAAAAACCAGGAAGGTTACATACCAGAATCTTAACATGAGTTAAGGCATAAAGTGGGACAGGAGAAAATGTGAGGAGGAGGGGTAGATGAAGAGCACTCAAAAAAAGTCTATAACTTAAAGTAATATATGATATAATCGTATTTTATTTTTATGTAAAATGATATGTGGATGACGTATGGGTGTAAGGAAAAAAGTTAATTGGAAAGGACACAAGGGGGCTTCCCTGGTGGCGCAGTGGTTGAGAGTCCGCCTGCCGATGCAGGGGACACGGGTTTGTGCCCCAGTCCGGGAAGATCCCACATGCCGTGGAGCGGCTGGGCCCGTGAGCCATGGCCGCTGAGCCTGCGCATCCGGAGCCTGTCCTCCGCAACGGGAGAGGCCACAACAGTGAGAGGCCCGCGTACCGCAAAAAAAAAAAAAAAGGACACAAGGTAGATTGCGATAAAAGAAGAAAAAAATTAAATATAGAAACAAAGAAAGTGTATAATCAAACATCTCCCAAAAGCATTAAAAGTGCATAATAGCTTTCAGCTCATATGACACCCTATCACTTAACCTATATTTACTGACTATGCTACATACTCTGCTAGATGACAGGGCTATGACAGTGGACAAGATAAAGTCTCCATTTTCAAGTGAGATTACAAATCAGTGTGATAAGAGCAACATTAGGCAGGCGACATTAGAGGACTACACAGAGAGCATATTTGACGGTACCTAACCCAGTGATAAGGGATCAGGAAAGGATTCCATGACAGCAATCACAACAATGTTGAACTTGATGTGTCACTTCTAAAAAGTATGCTCATTGAGTGTAATGTACGTTAGTTAGCCCTTTGTAAGAGAGACACTTAAAGTATTATTCCATTCAAGACAAATTTAATTAACCATAATTTAAAATCCCTAATTTTACTTTTCTAGAATCTTACTGCTTTGAAAAAGCAACCATGGTAGACTTTCAGAGAAGACTAAGTCTGCTTGAATTGCCAGTGCCAGCAGCAGCTTTGGTTCTTGCCTGTCTAATAAATTATTCCATTTGTATGAAACCCAAAGGTACCTCAAATTCCACATAGATGAAACCCCACTCATTCTTATTTCCTCCTAATTCTGTCTTTCCTCCAGAATCCCTCCCTCCCTCAGTGAATGGAAATACCATCTATCCAATCATTCTAGCCAAAAACCTGGAGTCATCTTAGACCCTCCCTTCTTTTGCACCTCTCATATTCAACTAAGTCTTGTCCACTCTCCTCCTCAAATGTCTCTCAAGTCTCCCTTTTCATATTTCTTCGCTGCTGAATAATGTCTCACCAGGTTTACTTTAATAACTGTCTAAGCCAGAGGCTCCTTGCCTCCAGTCTTAATCCTCTGCAATCTATCCAACACACTGCACCTCACATGATCTTGCTAAATAAAAGGCAAATATGATCATGTCACTCATTTACATACAATCTTTAATGGATCTGTGAATATCACAAAACATTCAGAATTGACAGAAATTCAAGACTGAATTTTCCATGGGCATAAATATAAAGTAAGATTGGAATTACTTTCCGTTTTGCACACAAACGAATCTCTACTGTCTTAGAGTAAATCGAAAAACCACTTGATATTATTATCTATATCCACCTGGTTTCTGCTACTGTTCCAATCCCATTGCATCCTAAAGTCTAATTCACTGATAAAGTACTTACATTTCCCCGCTTAAGTTTCACTGTTTTGTTTTTTTTTTACTTTATCCCCTTGTCTCATTGCATATTCTGCCTTGGAGGTTTCTCTTACACTTACTACACAGCAAACATCTATTCATCATTGAGAACTCATTTCAAGTTAGCTCCTCACACATGAAGTCTTTCTTGATTGCCCTCCCCAGTTACAACTGACCTGTACTCCCATCCCATACAGACTGCTTCACAATAACTACAGTAATTTATTGCATGTTTTTGCCTTCTCTCTACTACCTCTACTAGGGAAAAAATTCATTATGGATAAGGCCTTACCAGGTTTTATATTCCTACCACCTAGACTGTGCTTAGAGCAGAGCAAGCACTCAAAAAATATTTTCTGAATAAGTAAATGAATAAACTGGAACGTGCTTATCACACTTCATCATCTGGCTGATTTCTCTAAGATTCAGTTTCACATTGGCTCTTGTGGGAAACCTTCTCTGAGCTCTCACGTGTGGGCTGTTCCTCCTCTGCGCTCCCAAAGCAGTCTGTGTTGTGCATTAATCACACAGTATTAAAATTCCTGTCTCATATTCTTCTACACGAGTTTGTAAACTTCGAGAGCAGATGTCTATTACCTCTGCATCTCAAGACCCTAATATTGTACTAATATATTGGTACCGAGTACACAGTAGGTACTCAATACAAGTTTTCTGAGTAAATGAAGAGCTATAATTGGTAGTAAGTCCCAGAGTCCTCACAGTTTGTTCGAAATACCAGTTTACACTTTAGGGTTCTCGAGACAATTCTTCAAACCTTATTTAGCATCTTTTTGTTACTCAACCCAATGTGAAAGCCTCAGAATTAGAAACAGTGATAGGGGACTATAGGTTGCAAATAGGATGCTTTCTGAAAATGAGCAGGGGTGGGGACAGGCAAGGTAAGAATAGCTGAGCCTCTGTAAACAAAGTTACTAAAAATCAACATGAAAGGCATGAGATTAGCCAGCAGCAGAAATAGTGATACACTGGGACTCATTCTTCTACAGTAAACATAATGTAACAAAATACTTAAAGCAAGAGGAACAAACTAGCTCTCTATAGGCACCTTCCTTTTAAGCAACTGTGGATAGTTTCTGGTTCCATTAAATACATTTGAGAAGGTATTGATATTTTTACATTCTCCAAGCATTATTAAAGATAGTAACAGTTACCATGTGCCAAGCACAGTGCTAACTATTTTATGTGCATTGTCACCTACTACCCACCCCCAATAACCTTAGGAGGTAGATATTGTTTGCAATAAGCAGCCTCCACGATGGTCCCCTAACATCTGGGTCCTGGTATTCACACCTTTCTGTAGTCCCCTACAATATTATTCCAGGATTGGTCTGTGTTATCAACAGAATGTGGCAGAAGTAATGGCATGTCACTTCTGAGACTAGGTTATAAAAGACATCATGGTTTCCATCTTGGTTGTTCACGTTCTCTCAGATCATCCACTCTGGGAAAAGCCAGCTGCCATGTCATGACAGCTCTATAGAAAGGTTCCAGTAATGAGGAACTGAGGCATCTTGCCAGCAGCCATGTGAGTGAGCTTGGAAAATAGATCCTCCAACCCTAGCTGAAGCCCTCATATGACTGCAGCTCTAGCCAACAGCTTGACTACACCTTCATGAGAGATCCTGAGAACCATGCAGCTAAGCTACTCCCAGATTCATACCTTTCAGAAATGTGTGAGATAATAAATGTTTGCTGTCTTCATCTGCTAAATTTTGGGGTAATTTGTTACACAGCAATAGGTAACTAATACATTAATATTATCCCCACTTGATAGATGAAGAAACTTGGGCTCAGAAAGATTGTTACTTGCCCAAAAATACAGAGCTGGAATTCAAACTGATTTCTGAAACTCCAAAAGCTCAAACTCTTAGCCACTCTGTCATACTGACCCATCTATATGCTCAATCTTATGCCACATTACTTATTATTTTTTCCAATTAAATTAAATAAATATCTATAGCGTGCCTACAATTAAAAATGAACTGTACTATAAGTAATCTGCTAGGCGATACCAGGGTATAAGGAGGGGCTAAACAGGATATATCCTCATGGATTTTATTCTATAACATTTATTATTTATTTTTATTTTCTGTAACAATTTAACAAGTACCTTTGTTCGCCAAGTACCAAGCAGCTCTCAAGTGATCTGCGAGAGCCATCTAGTGTCAATTCTATTTAATTGCACTCTGCACTGTTAGCTGGATACAAATATAGAAGTCATATTTTAATGCCACTTTGAATATTAATTTTTAAAAATGTAAAAAAATTAATACTCTTACTATGTGCATAAAATAAATAATTCAAATATTAATTTACATTCATTCCCATAGAAAATTCAGTCTTGAATGTCTCTCAGATATGAATGATAAGGTATTCGCTCATACTTTGTGCCAATGTTTTTCTAACTTCCAGCATCTCCTCTTCCAACTTCTGGCAAATCTGCATACCTCCAGAAGTTCTTTTCATTTAAGAGAATGCAGCAATGGGCATGAGAAAATCAATAAATGAGAATATAGCTGATCCTCATTAATTTGAAGATTCCATTTCTGCAAATTCACCTATCTGATAAAATTTATTTGTAACCCTGAAATCAATACTCACAGCATGTTCGCAGTCATTTGTGGACATGTGTAGAGCAGCAGAAACCTGAATCACCCTACACACACTTCAGCAGATGAGGTTGAACACGGTGCTGCTCTGCTTTCTTATCAGCTCTTACACTGTGAACAAGTGTTCTTTTTCGCTATTTAGTGACACATTTTTCACATTTTTGAATGCTTTGTTGGTGATTTTGTGGGTGTTTAAAATTGCCCCCAAACATAGTGCAGAAGTGCTCTCTAGTGTACCTAAGTGCAAGAAGGCTGCGATGGGCCTTACAGAAAAAATATATGTGTTAGATAAGTTTCATTCAGGAATGAGTTAAGTGCTGTTGGCCGTGAGATTCAATGTTAATGAATCAACAATATATATTAAATAAGTGTCCTTAAATAGAAACACACATAAAACAAAGCTATGTACTGATCAACTGTCAAAAATGTGATAATCAGAGGCTCACAGGAACCTAACCTTGTATTTCCCCTAGAAGCAGTGGCTCAGTATTTGCTAATTCAATGTTTCTGGTGACTCTATAGGACATAAGTACTATAGATAATGAAAATCAACTACATATGCTAGAAATTGGTATTCTCTATTCTACTCTTATTCCCAAAGTGTTACAGCAGAAAGTTTTAGTTAATAAAATTCCAAAACAGTCCTCAGTACACTGAGCACTGAGTCAGAAGACTGAACTTCTACAGTACTACCTAATTTAACATTGTCCTACACAAGATCTGTTATGTCACAGTTTTGATGTGCTGGTTATATTTTTCCAGTATATATTAAAATAAATACATCACTATTAAAAAGTTTTAGGTGGACACATGCATATTACCAAAATTATCTCATGCCCCATCCAGTGATTCACGTACCAACACTTTGGGGAAATACTGCTATAAATACCATAGAAAAAGTCATTATCAAACTTTTCAATTATGAATACCCCTTTTAATAAGGAAATTTTGTAAGCCCCTACCTGAAAATAGTTATGCTTTTCTTAATTCAGATCAGGAACACTACTGTAGATTATAATACAAAATACAGCATTCAACATGGAAACAGTAACCAAAAAAGTATGATGGGATTCGAAGTGAATATTCTAACAGACAATACATCAAGAAGCAATATTTTGGTGTATACCTGTAACTGTGTCACACTGCTGAGATAATGGCTTAGGAGCACATCTTTGATCTGAAGACTCTGCGTTAGTTACAGGCTGCTGCATATAGGTGGAATGTCCCATTAAGATGTTCTCTGCTGCTGCTGTCAGCCTGGGCCTTTGTCCTTCACTAAGTTCACCTACACTGTTTTCCAAGTCCTGTAAAAAGTAGAAACCATTGTTACAAACGTTACATTAAAATCAAGTCAAAACAAGAAATAGTTGTCAAATGTATCATGATGCAGACCACATGACTGCTTGAAAGCTATTTTAGGAAGTTCTTATTATGCCACATACACGCTACAGGAAAGTTAGTTTAATAAGATATCTAAGTGCAGGCTTTGTTCTCCATATCTTATTTCTTATGAAGTTAAATACCCATTATCTGTTTTCTTCAAGCTCCAAATTAGACAACAATAAAACACACCGGAAAAATGTTATTATTTAAAACACTAAATGCTGTCACACATTATACATTGTTCATACAGCTTAATTAGAAGAATAGAAAATTCACCTCTTGTTCTTTATGAATGAAAATTGGCTAAAGTTGCTAGTGTGAACTTTATAATAAAACAACTGATGAAAATGTACAAAAAGTATGAATATGTTTATCAAATATACAAAATAAATAAAAACTAAAAAAATGATGAATTCTATTTTCTTTTGGTATTAAAAATAATATGCCCTAATCACTAGCACATCTTGTGACTTGGAGATAGTCTAATAAATGAGTTTACTAATCAAGAACTGGATAAAAATTCCAGTATATGAGAGTTCTCATGTTTTTTATTAAAAGGAGTTTAATTTCAACCAAGTAGAGTTTTTTAACTAGAATATATGAAGAAATCACTGCTGAAACATCTTTGATGACTCTGTTGATTACAAACTAAAATCTAACTGTTTAGCTCATCATTCAAGATTTTCTACAATTTGCCCTAATTATCCTCTACAGATTTGTAGCTCCCCTTATCCTGTAATCTGACTTTTCTTTAAGAATACCAGTTGCTCAACACTCTTTAAAAAGAAAAAGATTGTTTTGCAATTAATATAAAACCCTTGGAGATTCTTGGGCAAAGTTTAGAATGACAGCAGATACATTTTCCCTAGAAATTAATTAGAAATATTTCACAGTGCCTATTTTACTCTCCCACTACCATATAAATGTTGTGCAATATATAGTACCTTCTCTGTTGTGAACCAATTTTTTAAGGTACTTGTAGCTGCTGAACTACTTAACACCTTAATACTCTATGACCCTACTGAAGATTTAGCTTCCCTATTCACAAAATGCTCTCATACTCATAAGCAGTTATCATTTTAATATTATACTCAAAGCTCAGACTCATGTCAATTCTAAGTTAGGCTACCTATGATCTCTAGTAGTACACCTGGCCCATCCACATAAATGTACAAATTGCAGTTTTGTCATCAGACTACTCTCACTGACCTGATGCTCCCTCTGGGCAAAGAGTTGTTTAAGCACAAAGAATGGTTACTATTTTCTTACCAAAGCAATATTTTAACTTACAAATGTATCATTACTACCAGTTCTTATTACAAACAATACAAATGTTTGATAGTTCTGTAAATGTAGGATAACACACTAAATGTCGCTGTTAATCAGACTGGCAAAAATTTAAAATTAAAAATATCATATGTGGGCTTCCCTGGTGGCGCAGTGGTTGAGAGTCCACCAGCCAATGCAGGGGACACAGGTTCGTGCCCCGGTCCGGGAAGATCCCACATGCCGCGGAGCAGCTGGGCCCATGAGCCATGGCCGCTGAGCCTGTGCGTCCGGAGCCTGTGCTCCGCAACGGGAGAGGCCACAACAGTGAAAGGCCTGCGTACCGCAAAAATATATATATATATATATATATCATATGTGGTGTTGGAAAGGAATCTCATATAGTTGAAAAGCAATTTATTAGTGTCTGTTTAAATTATAAATGCTCGTGCCTTTTGAGTAATTCCACCCCTCATCTTCTATAGAAAAGCAATTCCTCATAATGTAAAAAGGGTTTTATTCTTATTACAGTTTGGAGAGAAAAAAAATTGGAACCAATCTAAAAATCCTTCAACAGTGGAATAATTAAACTAGGGTATACTACATGGTAGATAAAAAGGATATGGTGGATCTTTAGGATTTATAGTTAAATTTTAAGAATCAGATGGCAGAAAAACACATACACATACCTCAAAATTATCCACACATGACCACACACAAACATACACAACCACACATATGCAAATGCTTAGATGCTTAGAAAAAGATCTGGAAAGGATAAACTTCCAACTTCTGGGCTTCTGGTCTAGCCAAGATGGCACACTAACAAAGGCTGCCAGCTCCCTGTCCCCAAAACAATGTTGTAGTAACTACATATGTGGGAAGAAACCAGGATTCTGAGAACTAGGTAAAAGTTGTGAAAAACCACTAAGAAAGACTGACGACTAGCTTGACTTGGTGTGTGTGGGGAGAAAGGGGCTGCATCCTGAGGAGGAGGGTCGCTAGAGGAGGTTTAGTGAGAAGAAAGATTGGTACAAAGTGCTGCTGTCATTCCCTTTTTCCTTCATTAACGTGAGATCATCACTGCTTGTCCCTTAACCATAAAGATCTTGGCAACAATCTGGGCTGCAGATACTAGTACCCCAGAGTAACATCAGGGAGCATGAAGGCCCAGCCGGGGTAAAAAGTTATAGGTGACATCTGACCAGGAACCCATGACCATTCATTCCTTCACTCTCTCCCTTCTTCACCCCAGGACAGGAATACAAAACTTCCCAAAGAAACTTCTTCCTAAGGGTTTTAAAGACACAACAACCATCAGAAACACTAAACGGTAGAGTACCAGCAAACAGCAGTGGCCACGATCAACAGTGGTTCTGTGCTGCCTGAGACGCCCATCCCTGGAGCTCATCTCCTCCTCTCTTCTTATATTCACAGGAACAGACTATGGCCTGATTTTCGTCCTTACGCAATACGATTTCTCACAGAATAGCTTATTCCCACCGCCACCACCCCACCCACCCCGGCCCCGGAACATGAGTTCATATACCAAAAGAAACAGATACTCTTATAAAGCAGAAACTAACACATCATTGTAAAGTAATTATACTCCAGTAAAGATGTTAAAAAAAGAAAAAAGAAGAAAAGAAACAGATACTCGAGGAATCAATTAGTGTTTAAAAAAAAAAGTGAAAAACATTAATCATACATACATACACACAAAGAATAAAGAAAGATATTAACAATGTGAAACAAAAAATCATTAAAAAAAAAGAACCAAGTAAGACTATCAGATATGAAAAATATAATAAATCAGATAAATAGTAGGCTAAAGAACAACTTAGTGGTTGGCAGATCAGATTGAAGAACTCTCCCAGAAGAGAGTAGGAAAGAATGAAGACATAGAAAGTCTAAGAGATAAAACAAACAGAAGCAGAAGTCTTAATATCTGGAAATAATAGTTCTAGCCAGAGGGGGAAAAAATGAGAGGAAGAAAAAAATTGAAAAAGTAGTGAGAGAAATTTCCCAGCATTAAAAAGATGGAAAAGTCTGAGCATCGAATTAATAAATGAACCAATATGACTGATTTCCAAAATGAAGGAAAGCAGGATTAGTTAGTGGAACTTCTAAACTACACTGACATTTCTACTAGTTTTTGTGCCATTTGTTTGTCTCATTTTCTCTCTCCTCTTTCTCTCTCAGCCTACTGGTTTCTATACTAAGCAGCATGGTTTCTACAGCTATGAGAGTACTTTCTTGAGTTTAGCAACAGCAATCACAACTAGTATCTTTCCAGTGAAATCAATTTTTGGTCAAGCTAAGTAAATTTGCAGAAAATTTAGTCATTTTTCAATAAGAAGGAGTAAGTAAATTTCCATTTTTTCCATTACTAAGTTCCATATCTTTTTTCTTCTACCTTTCCTAAGAATTAAAATTTTTAAGATAAAAATTAATAGAAAATAAAGCCAGCCATCTCCTTGGATTCTGTATAGTCTTCAGATCTTCAGCTCATCTAAAGCCAGTTTCACACCTGTTCAAGCAAAGACAACCAAATACAATAGAAAGAATACTAAATAGAATCAAGAATCCTAGTCCCACCTCTATCATTAACCAGCCTGAGCAACTACACTGTACATTTCCACCTGGAATTTCCTTAAGCACCTTAAACTTAATGTTTCAAATCAAATTCATTACCTTCCCCACAATACTTAGCACTCTTCTCTCTGCTTTTCTAAGCCAACAGCTACACAACCACAACTTCCCTTAACCAGTGACCAATTACTGCCAATCAGTACTCATATTTAAATCTCTCTCCTTTCTATTTCTACTTAACTGCCTTTGTTCATGTTCTCATTCTGGACTACTCCAGTGGTGTTCTGACAAACCTCTATCTTTCCCTCACTTGTCCACGGCTCCATATGTCTTCCTAAATATCTTAGCCTGTGACTCCCTTGCCCAAAAATATCTTAAGGGGCTCCATAGTGTCCAAGCCTTACCATGGCCTACAAGGTTCTTTACGATCATATTGTTCAATCTACTTCTCCAGCTATTTGATCAGTTACTGCATGGCAGAGTAATTGTTTAAGCTCTTTTCTCCCTACAGGACTGTAAGCTGCTTAAAGGTAGGGACCCTGCCTCATTCATCTTTGTACCTTTTCGGAGGTTGTGTCTGGCATATAGTAGATACTCAGTAAATGGTTGCAGAAAGAAAGAAAGAATGAATGAACGATCCTCACAAATCATTTGAAAGGGCTTCAGCTTTTTTCATCTGTAGAATAAGAGAGTTGGAACAGATGGCCTAAATTCCTTTCAGCTGTAAAAGTCATAACTACGGTTCTAGGTTAAAGTTACTGCAAGGCTGATCCCTGAGTAAGCTGAAGTATTAGAGTGCTTTAACTAAAAGTAGGAATATTTTTATTATCTTTTTCCTGTATTTAGATCTAACAGAAAAAAAAATTAAGGTTAAAAAATACCTCTGAATGATAGACCATTTGCTGTGAAACTAACGATTCCTGGTTTTGTTTAGCAAGAAGAGAAAGAATTGCATCAGCATGAATTTCTTTATGGGGCATCCTAATCACTTGTCCTTCGCTGGGAGGATCATCTTCCTAAGTAAAATATAAAGAGAATACAATAAAAAAACAAAAATTAATGCATCAATTACATTTTTCATAATTTATGATTAATAAAACTTCACAATCATCATGAACATGGTCATATTAGCACTTTACAGAAAGAAGATGGACTCTTTATTATCATTTAGAGCTCACTTCCATCTGACTATACTAAAAACCCTTTATTTTTGCCTCAAATGTAAATAACAGTATAAAATAATTGGGTTACATTTAAACTAGGGATTTACTATAAAATCATATGAAAGTTGGACCCTTTGTCCCATGTGATTGAGTTACAATGATTCATAAACGTTTTATACAGTGTCATCAAGTTTTTGGCTCACACGGTTTCCTGCTTCATGTTGATGCAGCACACAAAGCTGCGCCCCCAGTGTGGCAATGGGGGCAAAGCACTGTAGCAGTGGTGCAACCTGGACCACAGGCAGAAATGAAAAACTGCAGAAATATGCTGAGGCACCTATAGACCTTTGATTGTCCATTTGCCTTTGCGCTGACAGCCAGTACTCGCTAGGGAGCAGGTACTGAAAGCCCTAGTTGGAAGACCCAGCTTAGACTTCTTGGTGCCTCAAAATAGACCAGTCCCGAAAATGAAGGACAGTGTGGGCCACATGCAGAAAACTGGATTCCCTTGTAAATACAAGGATTAGCATGATTTTAAACTCCATTAATAGTATTTTTTTTTACTTAAGTATCTTACATTTAATGAAATAAAGTTTAACTCTGGAGTACAAGTCTTTATCCCCCAGGTGGACACAGATAAATACCTACTGGTACATAACTGCAAAGTTAGTCTTTTTCAAGATTGTACTTCTGCATGTGATTTTATCATGAATTTGTAGCATATCTGATTTAGGCTTAGTAAAAATATCAAAATTAAAGTTTAGTTTCAAATGTAAAAAAAGAAAGATGTTATAATTTAGTCCTGGTTCAGTTCAGCTATTTAAACAAACTTAAATGTGCTTTGGCACCATGATAAAGTTCTAACAATGGATAAAAATGCCCTAATGACATATTAAGTAAGCCAAATGTTAGTGTAATGCTCCTCTGAAAATAAAGACTTCTCCTTTATGCTTCCCCCCCATATTATTTTATAAAAGTGATTTCCACTCTCTTCAGAACAGACTCAATTACTTGTAATAAATAATTACTGTTTAAAAAGTAACTGCTATTAAAATCTTATCAAAACTCTCCTTCATTAATAATTTCATACTCCTACATATAGTAAAGCAAATTGTTTTAACACATTACTTGAATATATGAATCTCCAGATTTGGCATCTTTACCCTGTTGTATCTTTAATAGTGTAAAGATGCTACATGGCATCTTTTGCTTTTTGTTTGTTGGACTTGACAAACACCGGGCACACACACCCAGCTGCTTGCAACTCAAGCTTTAGGATTCATATAGCTCCTATTAGAACTCAAAATTTACAGTTTTTAGCTTAAGTTGATAGCTTAAGATGAAAGACAAATTATCATGTATCCATATAAAAAGAGTTGTGGATCTATCACTATACAGCTATGTGACACAAACAAGTGATTTAACCTCATTCAATGCAAAGTAAAATGAGTAGTTACTATTTTTAACAAAGAATGAGCATCATCTTTTGGGATGCTTTTTAAAAATATACAGGTTTAGGCTTCTAACCGCCCACACACATGCATGCATACCATATAACACTCATGACCTACCAAATCAACATATCAGAGGGTGGGGGCAGGATGCATATTTCTAAAAGCTCCACTGGTGAATTTAATATACAATCCTAGTTTACATCACTTGAATAGGCTGCTTTAAAGAAATTTCTAGGGAGTTCCCTGGTGGCCTAGTGGTTAGGATTCTGGGCTTTCATTGCTGTGGCCCAGGTTCAATCCCTGGTCATGGAACTGAGATCCCGCAAGCTGCGTGGCACGGCCAAAAAGAAAGAAAAAATAAGAAATTTCTAGCATTATGATTGTAAGGGGATAGAAGGGCATGATGTTTCAAAAGTACACCAATCTCTTTCTTTTTTCATCATGATCCTATATAATGATACAAATGGAAAGATAAAAATGCAACTAAACTTCTAAAACTTCCAGTCAAGGTGGAGTAATAAGAACCAGATACACCCACCCGCTTGAAACAACTAAAAAATGGACAAAGTATGTGAAAAACTGCATTTCAAGACATGGAACATCAGGTAACAAAAGACAGTGATCCCTGAGAAATGAAAAACAAGTCAGAAGAACCCTATGACTGCTCCAGCTTACCATCTGGGAGTTCCCAGGCTGTGGCACAGGAGCCTAAGCTAAGAAGATGGAGATGTAACTCCAGGGAGGCCAAGACAGCTAGAGTTCATAAGACGGACGGCTAGAAAAGTGAAAGCTGCAGAGGGAGAAAACTCTGGAAATCTGCAGAAGATCCCCTTTGAGTATTAAGCTAAGTACTACTGAGCAGATGCTTTGGAGATAACTACATGAGGCTGGAGGAATGAGCACCTGAGAAGGGACTGGATATAACACTGCCTGATGCTCACACAGGGCTTGGATAATGGTTGTTCCCACTAGCCAGGCTGGAAAACCTCATTAATGAGGCACTGGGTGGAGTACATAGAAGTGTCTTCTCTCCATAGCGGGGGATAAATAGCCCTAGATTGAGTACTGTTCTGGTACTGCCTAACAAATCTTAAAAGCAAGACTCCAAAGGGTAAAACTGTCTCTAAGTACTTAACCATGTCCTGAGCAAAGCTCCAAAATATTTATAGTAATATAAAACATAGAAGGAAAAAGTCTATGCAAAATTTTGGCAGATGAAATTAAACAGCTTTTCTTTTTTTTATTTAATTTATTTATTTTTGGCTGCATTGGGTCTTCATTGCTGAGCACAGGCTTTCTCTAGTTGCAGTGAGGGGGGGCTACTCTTCGTTGTGGTGTGTGGGCTTCTTGTTGCGGTGGCTTCTCTTGTTGCAGAGCACGGGCTCTAGGCACGCGGGCTTCAGTAGTTGTGGCTCGCAGGCTCTAGAGCACAGGCTCAGTAACTGTAGCATGTGGGCTTAGTTGCTCCGCGGCATGTGGGATCTTCCCGGACCAGGGCTCAAACCCGTGTCCCCTGCATTGGCGGGCGGATTCTTAACGACTGAGCCACCAGGGAAGTCCTAAACAGCTTTTCTCAAAGATTAAGATATAACTACCATATTATCCATCCATTCCACCCCTAGATATTTGCCAGAGAGAAATGAAGGCATATGTCAATACAAAGACTTGTACACAAGTCTCCATAGCAGCTTTATGTGTAATAGCCCCCAACTGGAAATGAACCCAAACGTCCATCAACAGGTGAATAGGCAAACTGTGGCACATCCATACAATAGAGCACTGCTCAGCAATAATAAGGAATGAACTATGATACAAAGTATAACACAGATAAATCTCAAAATAATTATGCTGAGTTAAAACAATCAGACAAAAAAAAAGAATACATGCCACGTGATTCCATTTATATACATCTAGAGATGCCAACTAATCTATAGTTACAGAAAGTAGGTCAGTGGTTACTGGAAGAGGTATAGAGAATGAGAGGAATGATGAGAGATGAGAAGGAGGGATTACAAAAGGGCCTGAGGAGAGATTTGGGAGTGATGAATATGTTCATTACATTAACTGTGGTAATGGCTTTACAGATATATACATATGTCAAAAATTATCAAATACGTTTTTTTTTTAAAGAGCAACAATAATAGCAATGCTTAGCAAAGGCTATGGATGAATGTAGATGAAAGTTGAGCACAACTACCCTTACTTGCTTAGGTTGTTTGAAAACATAAAAAGTAAAGATTTCTATTCCTTAATAATTTTCAAAAAAAATCCCTATTATCATTTCTGTATGGTATTTTTATATATATTATACATGTTGATATATTATATATGTTAAGATATATATTTTTAAATGCGAATTTTCCTTCCATAAAGCTAGATAATAACTAGGAGAGTTAGTACCCTTGGGTCCTATTTCAGTATTTTTTAAATTATTTTTTAAAATCTTTACTTATTTATTTATTTTGGCTGCGCCAGGTCTTAGTTGCGGCAGGTGGACTTCTTAGTTGCGGCATGTGGACTTCTTAGTTGTGGTATGCGGACTCTTAGTTGCAGCTTGCATGTGGGATCTAGTTCCCTGACCCTACAGCTCCCCAGGGATCAAACCCGGGCCCCCTGTATTGGGACCACGGAGTCTTACCCACTGGACCACCAGGGAATTCCCAGCATTTTTTTTTTTAAAGCCACTAAATTCAATTATTTTTTAGCATAAAGAATTATAATCACGATTAGGGAAAAATTACAAACGTATTATAAGAGAGTTGGTTTCCACAGCTAAGGTCCTGCCTGAAACACTGTAAAGGCAACATATCCAGGTGACAATGTGCCTTGACTTAGATTTTCATTACCTAATTACATTAACTGCATTTTTCAACTACTGGAGCCACAGGGGTTAACAACAATTTTCTATTCATTCTCACGATTATGATAATGAAATGTGTAAATATGATAATGACATGTGTAAGAAACCTTAAATTCCTTCATGGATATTTTATTAAATTTTATGACTATAACTCAAATATTTGAGAAAAAACCCTGATCAGTAGCAACAAGTTCATCAAGATATTCTTCATCTCAGAATTCAATGTGGAGTCAATCACTTCTTACCATTTCAAGGGCATCATGCAGAGTACTGGATAAGCTATCATTTAGGTTTGTCAGATACAGTCCTTCATCTCCTAAAACTAGAAATTAAAATGCAAAAATTTGGAAAAAAGAAGAAACATAAATTTAGTAAATAATCTCACCATAAAGCCATAGAATATTACACTTAAAACTTACACAATAAAAATACTGGCAAAGTTCATAAATCATAGTTCACAAGCTATTCAATCTCACTAGCTCTTTGAAAAGCACATTTTAGGGGCTTCCCTGGCGGTGCAGTTGTTGGGAGTCCGCCTGCCGATGCAGGGGACGTGGGTTTGTGTCCCGGTCCGGGAGGATCCCACATGCTGCAGAGCGGCTGGGTCCATGAGCCATGGCCTCTGAGCCTGCGAGTCCGGAGCCTGTGCTCCGCAACGGGAGAGGCCACAACAGTGAGAGGACCACGTACCACAAAAAAAGAAAAGCACATTTTATAACAAAGATGAGATTTTTGTTTCACTTACCAGCTTGTCAGAAATTAAAAAGAGCTATTAAACATCAACTGTAACCATGAAATTAAAAAGAGGCACTCCTATATACTACTGATATAATTAATAACTGATTAAAATTAAAAACCGATTCACCTTTCTGGAGAGCATGTTGGCAATGTATTGCTATTTAATTTTATTTTTTTGGCCATGCTGTGTGGCTTGTGGGATTTTTTAGTTCCCCAAACAGGGACTGAACCCAGGCCCCTGGCAGTGAGTGCATGGAGCCCTAACCACTGGACCGCCAGGGAATTCCCTATGTATTGCTATTTTAAAGGTGCATACTCTGACTCAGCAATTCCACTTCTAGGCATGTATTCTAAGGAAGTTATCAGTTATGGAAGTTCACAAAGATAAATAAATATATGTGCAAGGATGGTCAGTGGAGAGTTATGTATAGTATGAAAATACTGAAAACAATCTAAATGCCCACCACTATGGCACTGTTTTAGCAGACTACCCAGCCACTACAAAAAAGAGGCAGGGCTATATGTATTAATATAGAAAAATGTCTATAACATATTTAAGGTTAAAGAATTCAGATTTCAGAATAATATGTATAATATGACCCTACTTAAAAGGTAAAAATATATATACATACAAATGTATTTAGGTGTCTATATATGCATAGAAAAAAAAAGACTGGAAGGGTATACCCCAAACTTTCAACAGTGATATTATTTCTGGAGGGTGGGATTTATGAGGGAGATTTTACATTCTGAGGTTAAGGTGTAGAAAAGTTAACTTGCGGAGTCCATGTTCTTTCTACTATACCCTGTTACATCTTGAAAATTAAGTAAAAACACTTTAAACAGAAAAGCATTACTTAGGAATTATCATAAGCTAACCAGTGAAATCAACTGATGCAAAATTAACTTACTCTTACGAGCCACTTTTTGACCACAATTAAATAAAATCTCTCCTTCAGAGATGGGTCTATCTAAGGTTTCAGTTTCAGTGGCAGTAACGCTCAAGGTACTCTCCACTGTTGATGAATCTGAACTTGACATCTGTATGGGGGAAGGGGCCTTGGTGCCAGCAGGAAGCGGCATAAGGGGAACTGGCTCTGGAGGTGCAGGCTGAGCAGGGAAGTCCATGCTCTCAGGTTCTTCATCCTTGGCCACAGACATTACACTAAGAAGAAAGAGACATAGTTTGAATGTATTACATCGGTGAAGGCCTATATTAATTTTTATATAAAAAATAGATTCAAAAGTACTATGTCTCCTTTAGACATTTCTATATCAATATATAGATATATCTATATATTTCTATAATCTGCACTACTATAATTAACCAACAAGATTTATTTTTCCAAAATCATCTTCATGCTTTAATCACAGACCATCTTGAAAGTTCTACCATCTCTAAAATAAATCTACATAGGGATATATGGTAATATAAAAGTCAACTGATCATAGTAAACGAAGATTCACACTGGGGAAAAATCTTCTTCTATTTTATTAACAATATTATAGTTATCTTTATTTTAATCTGTTTCCCCCAAAATTTTGTTTTAAAAGAAGAGAACTGAAAGTATAAATAAATCTGGTAAAAATTTTAAAAACATAAAATTTATGAAACTTCTTCCTACTAAAGTATAGATTAGCTTGTGGTTTATCAACCTTCATTTATCATTTCTGATGTTTTCAATGGGTCACCTAAGTCAACATAAGATGAAATGTATAGTTACTAAAAATGAATATACTGTCATTTACATAGCTCTCGGGTGAAGTTCTTTTTGAAGAGAGTTGGGATTCTCTTCTTCCAGTGGCAGGTCTCCATTACTCCATGGCTTGGGAAGCTCTGGGCTTGACATCTTCAATTTATCAATAGAAGTCTCTGACAAAGTTGGGGTAAGAGCTGCTGCGGGAGGAGGTGTAGTTGCAGGGGTAACAGTTGGAGTATTAACAAGTGTGATGGGAGGCATATTATTTCCTAAAGGTTTTTTGTAAAAGCAAAAAAAAGTCAATAAGAATTCCACAGGAAGGCAAGATATATTGTTTAACATTTTGGCATACAAATAATGGCAACAAGAATTAATAATAATGATGGCCATTACTGGGAAAAGCTCCAAATTAATTTAGTGAAGTACAAAAAATAACCTTGAAAAGACATCACTTTCAACATCACCATGAACTTAAAATAGTCTAAATGTCTACTAGATTATATACTTTAAAAAGTGGTAACCAACCCCTTAGTTTCCTTGTAAGAAAAAATGACTTACTAGAACCTAGTAAGCAACAGGTATGTGTATACTAATCTATAAAGACTCTTATAAAACAAACCATGATATTTTATTTAATAGTTGCTAAAATTAAAACTGAGTTATAGAAATAAGGTTTCTACCTTCTTCAGCAAATATTTCTTTCATGGGAAAAGCTACATCATGATCTGAAACACAGGGAGAAGAATCTGGAGTTTTTACGAACACACGCTCCTCAGGAGGTGATGAAGGTGAGAGAGGAGGAGTTGGCTGTGGGGTAGCCACTGGGGTACACACTCTTGCCTAAAATAAATAAAACAAGATAAGTGGTGCTTACAATCCCCAAATAAGGGTAATTTGAAAAATAAAATGATCTCATTCAGAGTTACATAAAATTTAAATGGATGGGGGGTAAAAATGGAGTCCTCTGTATCCTAGCTCTTGAACTTCTAGCTATTAGTTTCAAGACCGGACTACAGAAAGCCTCCAGCAACTGAAACAGCTCTGCCTCTGAACTAGGTCCCCTTATCTAATATAGAGAGGAAGATTAAACAGACAGCTGAAGATCAAACCCAAACACAAACTGGGTAGACCATGTAACAGAAAGAGAGCATTTTAACTAATTGACAAGATTATCAGAAACCCCCTTTCAGTACAAAAGAACAAAGCTTATAAAAAGCAATGGAAGGATAAGAAAAAGTAGGAGGGATAAAAGGAAGACAATGTAGAGATGGAAAGTCCTGGGGAAGAAAAAAGCACACATTTTAAAATCAATTTGTTAAACAGGTAATTCAAACGATTCAAACTTCAAAAGGATGATGGTGAAAATTAAGTCTCCTTTCCTACCCATGTCCTATCTACTTAGTTCCTTTCCTCAGAATTATCAAATATAATCTTGTCATTTTTTTATGTCCAGAATACTCTATTTTTAAAAATTTTTATACAATTTTTAAAGGTTACACTAGGTTTACAGTTATTATAAAATATTGGCTATATTCCTACTTTAAAATTTTTTTTATTGAAGTATAGTTGATTTACAATGTTGTGTTAGTTTCAGGTGTACAGCAAAGTGATTCAGTTATATATAACTGAATATATATATTCTTTTTCAGATTCTTTTCCACTATAGGTTATCACAAGATATTGAATATAGTTCTCTGTGCTATACAGTAGGTCCTTGTTGTTTATATATTTTATATATAGTAGCTTGTATAAACTACTAATTTGTTAATCCCAAACTATATATTTTATATATAGTAGCTTGTATAAACTACTAATTTGTTAATCCCAAACTCCTAATTTATCCCTTCCCTACCTCTCCTAGGTAACCATAAGTTTATTTTCTATGTTTGTGAGTCTTTCTGTTTGGTAAATAAGTTCATTTGTATCATTTTTTTAGAATCCACATATAAATGCTATTGTATGATATTAGTCTTTCTCTGTCTGCCTTAGATAATCTCTAGGTCCATCCATGTTGCTGCAAATGGCAAAATTTCATTCTTTTTTATGGCTCAGTAGTGTTCCATTGTGTGTGTGTGTGTGTGTGTGTGTGTGTGTGTGTGTGTGTGTGTGTGTGTGTGTGT